GCGCATCCTTGAATCGTATCGATCCTCGAGATCTCTCCGCGCCGAGTAAGAGGCCATAAGAGGGGAAGAAAAACCGATAATTTCCAGGGTTGGGGAGCTCGTTTCAGTTGATCAAGTTTATAAGCAAAGAAGGCTCAGCACGTTACTTCTCTGCCGTGTCGAGAATACAGCACCGCAGAACTCGCCATATCTGGATAGACTGGCTCTGCTGGGCAAGAAACACCACTTACCATCCCTTTATCAGAGAAGTAAAGTACGACGGACAAGTTAGAACGTTTGTCAAAGCTGTTAAACGCTGCCGAAATCTAAGACCGCGGCTTCTTTCGTTCACACAGGGTGATCCTATCTAGTAAACTCAAAGACGGTGCTTGGCTCTTTGCGACACAGGGTTTCGGATAATAAACGAGACCCGTGTTGCACAGAAATTTGATTGCGTTTTAAATGAAACAAAATTGGTATATTTTTACTGATAAAACTGTTACAATATTTCCAGGTGGGACTAAAAATGTCTCTGCATTACGGTGCACCAAAAAGGTGGGACACTTTTAATCCCACCGTGCCCCAAAGAGTCCCTGGGGACCGACAGTGAACTTTTCGTTTGGACAGCGTCGGTCCAATGTTTGGTCCAATTTTCATACAACGAGTCTCACACGATATTCTAGACGAAGGGGTTAACCACTTGCCCAACGATTTAACTTTCGGTTACCGTGCCGCGTTTTACAATATAACATGCGGTAAGGCGTTTCATTGACGCCGCATCCCGTCTGCGACCTAACTGTTAGCCGACGTGACGGACACGTCGTATTTGTTTCTGCGACGAATGCCTATCGACGTGGTACACACGTCGCTGGCGGCTTTGGAACAAAAGCATCTCGACGTGCGTGGCACGTCTTTATAGCGCAAGTGGTTAAAGATTAATACGAATATCGCGAATCAAACTACTTCATACCGGAAATACTAACAGGATAAGGCACAATTAAGAAATTATTAATTCGTAAGAGATTTTGAATATCTTCGAGTAAAGCTAAAGTTTCACGTGTTACTTAATCGTACATGGATCACTCTGCATATCCTAAGAGCATATCTCAAAATAGATAACGAGAAGTCACTGTTAAGATGCATCGAATCGTTGAAGGATATTAAATTGGTAATACAGGAAGGAAAAAATAGGATGAAAGGATATGAAGGATAAAATAGCAGAAATTAAGAACATAATACAAGAAGCTGAAAGGCAGTAGTGTCCAGACGCTGACTCTTGAGACGGTCATCTCTTAGAAACGCTGAACAATAGGTCCACTTCAAACTAACCTTACACATCCTCGCAGACATTTTCTGCATATTTGCTTTCTCCACGACGTGCAATATCGCGTTATAAATGGGATATCCATTCACACGTTCAAATATTCATCAAAATATTCATTTCGGCCTAGCTGAGATGCTTCTACGATAAGCCTCCATTTATGCAGTGAAAGCCACTTGGGCTTGAAAATTATGCCGAATTATTACAATATTGGACATCGAATGGAAACAAAAAGTCTCATTAAGCACGAATCGGACGTGCTTCGAATTCACCTCACAGGAAGCGAAGCATCACGAATTGAAGCAGAAGTGAAATGTTAGATTAATGGCTAGAATTTAGACTTCGCATTACCAAATCACAGAGTGGAAAGAACGTTCGAAAGTAAGAATAAGATATTGGTGAAACTAACGTGCTCTTGTTGACACGTATAGATAACTTGTGCAAATTTTCACTTGCACTGCACACGAAATCTATGACTGGGTCTGTAATCATGAAAACCCTGAAAGAAAGTTTACCTTGTTCGATAAGTTGCTTCGAAAATTGCGATTATTGACAGAGAGTATAAAAATTACTCGATAATTCAATAAGTATGAATTTCAAAAACGAAGCACAATTGATATAACGATACATTTCCAACTGGTGTTGGAAATAAAAATCGGAATAAAATTTATTCGACTTATTTTAATTGGTATTTTAATAACGTTTCTGTGAAATGTAGTTATACGTGATTAAAATAGCTCCTAATCTTTGTCATGTAGTGAAAATCTTACCACTACCACTAAATCATACCACTAATTGTACATATACATATCACACCTACGCAAAAATAAATTATTCTTTTACATCCATATCATTACATAATAAAATTAAATCGAATGCACAATTTTCACGTTATTTTTCATTTGCATACCATGACGTATATATTATATATGAGATATTGCAATTACGATAATTGCAAAATAACAGAGAATAAGCAAATTTGAAACATGAATAAGAAAAGAAACATTCGATACATGGATATCGATTAAATTTCGCCATTAAGAAAAGAAATTATTACGTGGAATTGAATAAATTTTATTCGAAATTGATTGGTCGATTAATCTCGCAGCTATTCTGCGCGCCATTTTAAAAAAGGAAACTGAAGAAAAATTATTTTCCTTCTTTTGCCTTCCAAAATTCCGAGAGTACGCTTTCCAATTTTTCTACTCTCGATTAATGCAAAATTAAAAAAGAGAAATTTTGTAAAGCTGTTAGAGAAGAATCTCCCCGCGACTCCGAACAGCTGTTCGAGCCCGTAGAAAAGCTTACTTTTCCCGTGACCTTGTTCCCTGATTGCATCACGCGGAAAGTGGAAACAACTGGTGGCCAAAAGCGCGCTTGTCCTCGAGTCTGACACGTTGGACGGACAGCCGAGGGGTGGTTCGCGATTGGTTACCATAGAAAGATGAGAAAATGCAGGAATCGACGCTATCCGTGTGAGCGAGATCGTTCTATAAGTCGAAGAAAATGCGCTAGTCACGGCACTCATTCTCGAATAGCAGATACGGACACTGAAGCCACGTGTTCCTTTCGCTCTCTTTTCCAACTCTCTTTCATCGTTCCAGTGTCGTGGTGAGGAACGGTAAACCAACTGAGACGGTTATCGTCGCGACGCCACCACTGCTGATTTCAGCGTGTCTTGCGTGTGCGTGTACAAACAATCGGTAACATCGCGAAGCTTCGACGTCGACAGACGTCGAGGCACATCGTCATCGCGAAGTAAGAAGAAATTCCGCGAAAAGCGAATCGAAAATGAGGAAGCTTATTCTTTTGCAAAAAAATATTTCAAGCCATGTTTCTTTCTTGTTACAAGAAAATCCTGACATAAATCTATCGTGGACAAATCAATCGTTCAACGAAATGAATACGGAGAGGAATCCGATTAACTAACGACGTAAGCAACATACAAAAGTAGAAATTCTGTTTTATAACGTTCCTTCACTTGCACTTAAAGATTCATGAAAGTGATCGTTGACCTATAAAGAAGACACTGGTATATTCACTTTTATTCCGTATTTACAGTGCTAACGTATCTATTATTCCTTCAACAAACGAACAACAAAGATCTTAATGTTCTAATATATACAATCACGCTTACAGAAGCATGTAATCGCACAATTCAAGACGATACGACGATACCAGACTTAACAGTAAGTCACACATGGAACGGGTTACGTTGCCTAATAAACTGTTAAATATTCCCGCGGAAAATAGCCGGTAACGGAAAGATGTGTAATTCTGGCAAATTAAATAAATGACAATTAACCACGAACTCGTGCACCATCGTGTTATAGCCTTTAATCGCACGAGGAAAATGTCAAAACAAGTCTTTCTTCTTGCAATTGTATTTTTATAAACTTTTTATAAACTTTCCTCCCTTGTTGTCACTAGATGTTGTATATCATACAGAAAATTTCGAATTTTCACAAATCCCTTCTTCAATTGGCTGTCAATAGGCCAAATAAGAAAAAGGTATTCGAATAAAGCTAAAAGATTTGTAATATGATTGGGATACGACGATACAACAATGACGAGAGTAAATTTCAAAACAATGCGTTCTTAATAAAAATTGACAGCGGTTATCGACAAAGACGCACAAAGCAGGAAAACTCACCGAACTCTGCGGGGAATTGGACACACTTGGAGACCGCTGCACGGTGACCAACGCCATGATAAGGACCTCCCACGTTGTCGAGATGTTGAAGATAACACTCACTGCCACTATGCACACACGTAAAAACGATCGGATCGTTTGAACCACGGAAAAACGATCATTTTTCACGCACTTCTAACGGCATCACGCTCGCGGCGGCCATATTCGATACAGTCTAATGTAGCGGGCAGTCTGCGCATGCGTGCAGTCACACGAGCGCACGCCCGCGATTTTGCTTATCCTACGGTGACGTCATGACAATGATTTTTTAATACGTTTAAACAAAGTAATTTACAAAATTAAATATGATAAACACAAAACCATACACCCTGGTAGAGAACTAATAATCTAATAATGTTATTCGTATAACTTTTTAAATGTACAATATGAATATGTAAAATCTAAACTTTTTTAAATATCGACTGACCATGTTTTCAAATTTTTCATGCGATTACATAATTATAAATTAATCTATAGCCTATCTTTAATATTGTTCGCGCTTAAAGGCTATAAAACCAATTACAATTATAAAATTTTGTATATTTCATGTATTACATTTGTGAAATTGTTTTTAATTTTTAACTGGTTACATATTTATATTTATAATAATTATATGAAATATTTAAAATTTTAATATAAGTAATAAATCAATAACAAATTTGAAAATGCGTTAATTTTCAATTGTGGTTATGTTTGAGAAAAGCTGTCAAACAGTTGTTTAAAAAAATAATTAAAAGTTAATATTTAAATACTCCTTTCAAACAAATTTCAGCATAGATTATAAATTATGTACTCTATTCTATTGAATACATAAATTTATAATGTATATTAATTACAAGTTAAATTTTGAAAGTAAAAATAATCTAATAAAAATAACATGATGCGATGTAATGTGTTTCAAAAATCTATCGATATCGCGAAGGAAGTTGGATATGTCACTCGTTCGACTATAAATCGAGAGTTCGAAATCGCTTTAAAGCATCCGTAAAACATTTACGTAGATAAGAATGTAGATTACAGGAAAGAAATATTATACAAGTTATTTAAATTATAGTTTTATAACGTATATATTAAAATTCCTAAACAAAAAACGATATTACATTCATTCTTACTTAAAAATGTCGAAAATTTTTACACCAACGAATCAAATAAGATTAACCAATGTTGCTGTGGTTCGTATGAAAAAAGCAGGGAAGCGATTTGAGATTGCCTGTTACCGGAATAAGGTTATCTCGTGGAGAAATAAACTGTAAGTATTTGACAATCAAGCAAAACAAAGACATACGTTACATTGTTAGTACGTTCTTGACATCTAACCTGTACAATTTACTTTTGTAACATTTTAACTTCTTTCTGATATGATATACTTCATGTTTTACTAACAATTGTAATAACAAAATTGCATTTCAGAGAAAAAGATATTGATGAAGTTTTACAGACACATACAGTATTTATAAATGTCTCTAAAGGTCAAGTAGCAAAGAAGGAAGACCTCGTAAAAGCTTTTGGTACTGATAATCAAACAGACATTTGTAAAGAGATTCTTACAAAAGGAGAACTTCAAGTTTCGGATAAAGAAAGACACTCAGCCTTAGATTCTATGTTTAAAGATATTGCTACAACTGTTGCTAACAAATGCATAAATCCAGAAACTAAACGTCCTTATACAGTAACTATGATAGAAAAAGCTATGAAAGATATACATTTTTCAGTAAAGCCAAACCGAAATGCAAAACAGCAGGCATTAGATGTAATTCCTCAATTAAAAGATGTAATGCCATTGGAGCGGGCTCAAATGAGACTCAGAGTTTTGGTCTCAGGCAAAGAAGCAAAAAAATTAAGAGACAAAATAGTAAAATTAGTAACAAAACTAGAAACAGAAGAGTGGGATAATGGAACTTTAGATTTGATTTGCTTAATTGATCCTGGACATTATAGAGACATAAATGAACTAGTGAGGTCTGAAACCAAAGGTTCTGGATTATTGGAATTACTTAATTTAAAGGAAATTGTTGAAGGGGATGAAGTCTTGGAATAAATAATTAATTTTACTGAACGTTGTTATCATCTTATAACCTTTTTTTTTACATGTGGCTTATTATAATATTTAGACCTGTACATTTATTTATACTTTTTTTCACAAATATTTTTATACTATGTACAGATAGATAAAAATTTAATATAAGGTAATAAATTTCTATTTAATGATCCGTTAATGTGTATATATGTATAACTAAAATTGACTTATAAAACTTGTTTCTGTTATTTAAATAAATAGCCAAATGTATATCAATAAAATTATGTACAACTGTTTCATAAAATTAACAAAATATTCTATTAATCATAATCATTTCTTGTAATAATACATCGAAAAAGTATTTGTGTCATGTTTGGAAACTATATCTTAGAATTTAACTTTTTATTAAAAATTGTTATATGCCAACAACTTAATATGTTAATTAATTACTATGTACATTTAATAATATAATGATACAGAATAATCAATAAATGACACTTATAATTCCATTAAAAATATTTACAACTTACCTACTATGAATATACATTTAGAAGGAATATCATTGCACACAACATTTGCATACAATATTTGGCTGTGTTACTTTTACAATAAAAGCAGTAGAAAATAATCTACAAATACGACTCAGAAATTTTATAGTTTACTTTTCCTCGTTCTTTTCAACTTCTACTCTAGGAATATATATATTTTCAGTACGTTGATCACATTTAGCTGCAATACGTGATGTTGTTAATAGGAAGTTCTGTAATTTATTTAAATATATTTGTGCCTCTTTATTTAATAAACCATCTTGAACCAAAAATGCAACATTTCTTTCTACACGTTTGCATATTGCTTTTGCTGAATGTAAAGTAGAACAAGCTTTCCCACCGCCCTATTAAAGTGTAAAATGGAATATGATGAATTATTTGAATAACAAATATGAAATAGAAATGCTCTTTTTACCGGAATAATATAGGTTTCCTGAGGTGGTAGTTGATTGGTATATTCTATTATCCATTCTTCTAAATCATTAATATGTTTACTTTCAAATGCCTTACTTTTTCCAGGTATTGGTTTTAATATAGCATGACTTAAATCAAATAAAATCATTTGTACCCTCTTTAATTTATCAACATAAGGATGTTCAACTTTACTATCTGTTGCAAATTCTCTTGCCAATCCTATTTGTGCTAATAACTCTTCTGTTGAAACAAGGGCATTAAATGTTGCGTCATTTTGTACACCTACATCTACATTTGATAATTGCAAATCATTATCACGCATGGAAACATTTTCCTTTTTTGTTACTTTAGATGCTGAACTGCAATAAAAATAATTTTATTAAAACATTGTTTAATTTTCTATAGGAAAGCTATTATGTACGATATAGAGCAAGATAAATTATTTAAAAATTGGTTGTTTGTATACAAACATTATTACACATTATTACAAAAATTTATAGTAAGAAATTTCTAACAGAACTTGTCTTTCTTTATAGTTTCTTGTGATAATATCTAATTATTTAAAAATGATAAATCTTGCAAGAATAGATATAAAATAGCCTTTCACAAAGATAAAATATTTCAATGTTATGGTTAACAATATATAAAAAAAAAAATCCTACAAAATACTTATAAATTATTGTTTCCAATATTTTGGTACAACAAATATTAAGATATTATTTGCTAATTCTGGGCTTGTATTTTAGTAAGCATTGTTATAAAGTATCACAAGAAATACTATTATCAAACAATTATTTTATAAATTAATATTAAATCCAGTTATATCATAATGTGTAAAATAATGTTTAGGTTATACTATGCTCTTGTCATATACCTGTTTCTAAATGATACCCGTAATCCAGTTTTATACAGTAAAAGAGGATTTTTCCATACACGTCTAACTACTTCCATATCTATAATAAACAAATCTAAACGTATTTGTGTCAATAAATCACGTTTAAACGTACAGTTTTAGTTGAAGTAAGAGTAACGATATGATCGCAGTTACTTCGTGATCATGCTGCTGGTTAAATCTGCGCATCATAGCCAATGTTATTTAATAAAAATGTTTTCACTGAATATATTATTGATAACATATTTATAAACGAATGTATATGAATTAAATTTTAAAAGGCTTTAATTTTGAAAAAATAAAAGCACATTAAAATGCATATAATAATGAAAGTATACATAAAAATCTCACAAATTCATTTTATCATTTGAAGCTATTCTTCATCGCATAAATAACTACTTTCAATAGTATAATTTATATCCATGTTAATTCTTATCAGCTGTGCAGTAATTACGTAAAACAACCGTGAAAATTTTGATGTTTGATTCGAATATTAAATGATACAATTTTAAATCGTTAATATTAAAAGAATACATACGTAAATTACATCGCTTCTCGTTAAATATTCAAATTTTTGTTACGTTAAAATTTATTTGTTATTAATCATAACGTTTTCTTGTAATTAAAAAAAAAAACTGTAATATGCACATGATGTTCCTTTACCTTGTCCATAATGTAGTGTGTTAAAATAAGGTAAAGAGTTTATATTGATACATTATACATTTTTTATCTTTTTTGTAAGTACATTATTTATTTTCATTATATGAACTGTGTAATGTTTTAGAAAATTCAACCTTGTTTGATATTATTGTTTAAATTTTATTAAAATTTTATTCTATTTTGTAAATTTAGAAAATGTACATATACATTTTTTAATATCAATTTATGCTTTTCATACTTATAGTATTTAATATTGCTTAATTTTATTTTGGTAATATTAATCATACTCAAAAATACTTTTTACTTCAAATTTCTTTACTTTATGGGTCTCAGATAAAATTATTTAATTAAATATTTATTAAAATTAGATGATTATATAATGAGAGAATTGCACTTCTTTAAATGATGTCTAGTAAGTATTTTCATTAATAATATTAATTCTCATAAGTGCTTTTTATAATACAGTATTATTAATTTGTATTCTCTAATTTTGTTTGCATATCTAGAATTTAAGGTAGAATTATAAAATGTATATAAAGTACTTTATATGAAATGAAATGTATTTACTACTTTTAAATATATAATCTTATTCATTTGATACAGATACTTACAAATTACATACATATAATAGGCATAAAACATTTAAAATGCATATTTAATAACAAAGTTTTAATCATTATTATTATTGTTGTTGTTGTTGTTGTTATTATTATTATTATTATTATTATTATTATTATTATAACATATTACCTGACATTAATTTTTTAATTAATATTTTTCCTTCAGATATTCATTTAATATTCTAAGATACAGTCTATTATATTAGTAATATAATATTATAACATGATAGAATAAAGGAAGATTATTGGACTGTATTATTATTAAACAATATTTATGGCAGTTTGATGAATTAAATAATCATATGATACTATTTATTAATATTTTTTGTATATATCTAAATTGGTCCTAGAACAATTTTTTAGAATAATAGCATATAAATGCTTATTAAAGTTATCTGATTGAAGAACTTGGAAAGCATTAATATTTAATATTATAATAAGAAGTACTTACATATGATTGTTTCTAGAACCGTTTAGTCTATAGCTCTTTGAAAACTAAAATCATATATAGATGAATGATTAATATAAACAAAGAAAACTTAAAATTCATTCTAAATGTATATACACTGTACATTAATACTTTTGTAAAGTGTGATATGTAATTTCACTACTTACATTATTAAGACTTGATAATCTAATATTTTACTTTTATGTATATTATAGTTTCAATTTTTATTACTTATAATAAATATGTTTAGTCACTTTTAACAATTATGATGCACAAATGATTCATTTTACGGTGTCTAATGTTTCATTAAATTATATTACTTCAACTAGATCTTAAATTTCAAGGTACTTGTGCATATATTTTATTTATTATTTAAATAATATATTATAAGAAGATGTTATTGAAACTTGTTTTATAATATATTTTTACTTTTGCATGCAAAACACATTCAATCACCTACATTAATTTTCTCTTGCAATATTTGGTAGTAGCAGGCCTAAAAGGTAAATATACTTGTTAAGTAAAATAAACTAAATAATTGTCTAGGAAAAGTAATATCTTGCCTTAAGAGTGGTGAACATAATGCCAAGTTCTCCATTTTGCAAATAAGGTTCCATGAAATCTTCTATAAAATGTATTTCACTGCCTAGTTGTAATACACTAGCACGAACAACAACAAAACAAAAGACAGGAAACAATTCATCCATTGTCCATAAATATGTAGTACCCAATTGTTTTTGAACTATCTATTATAAAAAATATATAAGATATAATAAATAATAAGATATTAATAAAAACTAAAGAAACTAGCTTACTTGTGTCATTTGCTCAAATGTATTTCTAACTACGAGTAACTTTTCTAATGGAGAAAACATAGTTTTCAATTGCTGTAATGTTTCTATTGCTTCACTAAAGTACGATTTACTTTGATAGGATAATTCACTTTCGTTTAAGTTCATTATATTTGTATTTTTCCAAAATTTTCTAAAATTTTATACATTCGAATTAAATTTCAGAAATGTTATCAATTATGAAAAATTTGATAATTTTTATCTTTCTTTGGTTGATCATACTTACTGATCAACGTCCAAAAATGTCATTAGCGTTATATCAGGTTCTTTGTTCCATTTCATTAATCTTTCCCAATAGGCATCATCTTCTTTTTTATTATGTAAAGCATATAATATAAAAAGTGCAGAATGCACACGCGGTAATAGGATAGGATGAAGAATTGCTGTAGCGCTTATAACTTGACTAACAAAATAAATTAAAGCAGAAATACATAATGCTGCACAAATATGGATTATGCAGATAACGAATTATATAGATAATTGAGTAAAATATAAAACATACCCTTGTTCTTCATTTTCTGTTTCAAATATATATTCTTTACCACCTTGTGGTAAGGCCGGAAATAAAAGAGTAACTATTTCATATATTCTTGAAGTAATACTACGAAGTTCTGATACAGCATGACTAAGTAACAAAGGATGAACTCTTACACCACCATAAGTAGCTGTATATACAGCAGCAACTTCTGTTAAAAGAGCTCCTAATGGATGATGTGAACTGTCAAATGCTTTAATTAAGTACTTATGGATTTCATTATAGCTCTGGATAGTGAGTTTGTCTCTTCCAAAACAAGGAATTTTATCTAATTCATCAATTATTTCATTACTTTTTTCCTTACTAGATGCAATAACTGATGAAAGTTTTCTTCGTTGTAAAGCTTTTTGATGTGATTTAGTTATTATGCTAGCAATATTTTGCCAAACACGTTGGGTTTCTGTGGATTTCTCAGTTACACCTATAGCTTTCGAACCTGGTTCAGGTACACCAAGTTGTTGATAACACTGTCGAAATATAGCTTTCCATTTCTGATCGGGTGATACACATAACTTGCCGAAAGATCTACATCAAGAGATAATAAATAAATACATTTAAAATTAAATTCAAATAAATATTAAATAATAAACTATTTACGTTGGTTTTGAATTAGTTTGTACATTTCCACTGGCTTTATTCATGTGCAGTGTTGCAATAACTTTTATACCCTCTTTCCAAGCACCATTCATATTGCCTTCTAATCGATCACCACTTGTAAATGTCAATGTACCTTTACCATAAAAAATACCAGCGGATTTAAATTCACCTTCATAATGAGTACCATCTTCAAACACCATGACTCCGTGACCCTTTTATCATAAGCATCTTATTTCAACGTTTTTAAGTTTATATTTATCAAAATTAGCAAAATTTGTAATTATTTACCGTCAAAACGTCTTGCATAAAAACACCTTCATAATAAATACCATTTAAAGTTACTATTAAACCACAACCATGTTTCATACCATTACTCCAGGAACCTAAGTATTTTTCACCTAAAATAATGTATTGTTTAATAAATCAGTATCTATGTTTATAAGTGTTTGATTTAATTATTACGAAAATCATACATCTTTTCTGTTCTTAATCATATTATTAATACCTGTCATAATGTCGTCCATAATTCCATATCCCTGTTTGACACCTGCAGCCCATTCTCCAATATAAACAGATGCTACAGATGCCATAAAGTGACCTTCCTTTTTAACACCATGACCATGTGGTAATCCATCTTTGAAATATCCTTCATAAAAGTCTCCATTATTGTATCTAGAATATTTTGCATTCCACTTTGAATATTATATATAAATATTTACATGATTATTAGAATTTCAATTGTCACTTAAAACTGACTTCATTGTTCCATATCCATTCTGTTGACCATCCTTCCACTGTCCTTCATAGACACCTTGTGATGGAATTTCCATTTTACCATTACCATGAATAATACCTTTGTGAAATTGTCCTACATATTTACGTCCATCAGACCACTCTAATTTTCCTGAACCATGTGGCTTACCATTTAACCACCGACCTATATGTCACAGCAAAAAATTATTACTTTTCTAATACATATATAGGATGTTCCATATAGCTGAGACAAGCGATATTTTTAAAATGTTTAGTAGTGAATAAAAATATCATAAAATAAAATACAATGATACCTTAATATAAAAAGATCAAATTGTATTTTAAATATTTTTTCATTTCTTTTTTCATATTGTTTAACATAAGTTTTGTCTCTTTCTATAATTTCGTATTTTATAGCAAACTATGTTGTTGAATATTTTAACACTTAAATATTCCTAAGAACCTTTTGTTCTATTACATTTTATTTCATTACCAATTTTTTAAAAAATACAGTTTGTCTCAGTTGTATGGAACACCTTGTATATTATTTTGATACACAGTTTTCTTTCGGCATTATATAATTCCTAATTATCAAAAATTAAAATTATAATCATTTTGAACAGTTCATCATCACAGATATATTAATTTCTAGAAAAATGTTTGATTGTCTTCCACTCCCTATTTGTGTATAGTTTTAAAATATAAAAAATAATAAAAAATTTGTGATATACAATATTGTTATTAATGATTTACGAACCAGTATATTTTGCATCTTTGAAAACACTGTGCTTTGTGAAAGAGAATGAGCTAGACCGTACTATTGGAGGTACATGTCCAATAACTTTTTGCAGACTACAGTTTATGGCATTTTTTAAATCATGCAACCATTCATTGCGTTCAGGAGGTGTTGGAGTATATAATACAAATGTATCTTCTGGAGCCACTACTGATATAGCATTCTAAAACATAAATATATAAATGTAAAAATATATATTACGTATCATCATTCTACATCAACATGTAAAATTTTATTTAACTTACTTGTACTGTTTCAGAGTCTGGTAAAGGCTCTACCCATAGAGTTTGAAGTGGATGTACTATATGAGAAGTACCAGTAACGTGAATAAATATATCAGTTAATAAAACAAACCAATGTGTAGAAAATCTTCCAGAATTAAGTATCAATAAAGGATGCATTCGTGATTCTCTAATAAGCCTTCTGTCAGGAGATCTTAATAATTCCCCAAGTTTACCAGAACTTTCCCAGAATAATTTAGTTACTTCAGCCTCTTTCTGTTGTTTCTCTTGCTCATCACATATCTGTTCCCACTTTATTAAAGCTTCATGCAACCGTTCTACACCCATTCTTGAACCATTACATTTCATCAAATTTAAAATCATATTCTTATATCTGTACAAAGATGATTTCTGTTAGCATAAATAAAAAAATAATAAATCACTAGTATGTTTAAAACTTTTGGCAGAATATCAATTTTTTACATATTCTTGATATTATGTTAATATGCAATTTATTAAAAATAATTAAATAATCTTCATTATCTATAAAAAAAGTTTTATGTTTTAAATTAATGTTTAAAGCATTGATTTATTGTCAACTAAAAGCAAATAATTATTGCTTGTAATCATTTTAAGTTAAACTAATCATTAGATAATAATGAAAACTGTTAGTACTTTATACATAAATATAATATTCACCTATTTAATTTACGCAGTGGATGCTGTAATGCCATAGTAATAACAGTTTCATCAGAAAGCTTTTTAGTTTCATTACTTTTTAACTTATCTTTAAATAAATTTGTTATTACTTGTGGTACTTCAATTATTTTTACAATATATGTAAATCCACTCAAAGAAATAACATCACACACTGCATTTAAGTAATATTTATACACAGTAATATATTCCTCAACATTAGCAATAACTGTCACTTCATATGCTTCACTAATATGATTAAAATAATCCCATAAACTAATAACATTCAATACACTGAAACTTAACAACTCAGTATAACATCGACATAATGTTTCATATACATTGGATTCCTGCATAGCACCTCCTCTCTTTTGAAATGGTTTGATTAAATTTTGGTATATAACCAATATTTCTTCCAAGAAGATTTGATCGCTTACCAAATCCTCAGAAATATTTATCTTAGGTTCATTTATCACAGAACAACAGCTATAGATACCAGAACTAAAAATTTGCCGAGGACTACAATTATTACTTGTCTCAATGTCAAGTTGGAACATTTCACCAGGTTTACTGAAATATGCATGACAACTTTTATAAACAGACAGAACTTTCATTTCTTATTTATACTTTTCATAATTAAACTGTTTACCTTGACTGTCCAATAAAGTATAAACCATGATGCATCATAACTAAACTATGAAAACTACCAGCTGCCACATCTTTGGCTCTTTCATTTGGAAATATATTTGTAGTAAATAATCGAGGTGCACTTTGATACATATTTTGTTCCAATGTTACCTGTTTATAATTATTTCTACCCCAAGCAAAAACTCTTCCATCTAATGTTAGTGCAAGTATATGAAATGCACCACATGAAATTTTTCTAAGTCCAATATTACTGAGCTTTGCCACCAAAATAGGTCGTATACGCTTAACAATATCTCCTGTTCCTAATTGTCCATATTGAATATCACCCCATGTCCAAAGTTCGGTAGATAGAATATTATTGCCAGTACAAGTTAATGTATTGATCCTTTCATTCAATCCTTGCTGAGATAATTCATGCTCTGAGGAACCAGTACTTGATGACCAGGGAAATTCTTCACAGCGTAAACTTAGTGCCAAACTAGTAGCTGCAGGTTTTGAATATTCTTCTGCTAGTTGTTCTAAATGTTCACTACTGTCATCTTTAAATTCATTCATATCCAAACTTCCACTCATATGCCTGGATAACGTAACAACTTTACCTCCTACATTTTTCACTCCTTCATAAACTAAATTTGCTACATTAGACACATTTTGTTTTATTAGTCCAGTTGGTTTTTCAATATTTTCTAAAGGTATATCTTCTTTAACACTTCCATAAGATGAAACCCAAGATAATTGTCTAGTTAAAAATTGCCTTGCTGCTTCTGTGTTTATAAAAATAACATTCTTTTTTTCTTCTTTTCCATTATCTATAGGATTATCAGAACAAATTTCTCCATTTTCCACTATTTCAGACATCTGTTTTTTTTTACTACCCTCTGTAAATGGAGTATCTTGTTCTTTACTAGCAACAGATAAAGCACTAATAGAATTAGTTGAATGGTCTTCACTAAATTGTTGTGCATTAAGTCCAGTAGGGCAAGTGTCAGATGATGTTAAACTTGTTGGACTTAAAAGCATAGTATTGAGACATTGAGGACATGAATCAACAAAAATTTCTCCTTCCAATTCATTTTCACTATCAGTATCATCTTTTAATGTCTTTGTTGTCTTTCTTACAGCAACTACATTAAAGTTTGAACCACATGAAACAGTGGACACAGTTCTGCCCTCAAAAAATTTAACCTTTTTGGGCTCTATACTATTAATATCTATCTGCGATTGATTTCCACTAGCCCATAATTGTCCACTTTCTGTTACAAATAATGCTGTTTGATCATTAACAGCTATTGATTTTACTTTGACAATTTCATTTTCTTGTTTATATCTACAATAATATAAGCAATTTGGGTAAATAACAATTTGTAACACAAGAATATAAAATAAAATAGACACTATTACTTGAAACTATGTAAAAAGTATATGAAACATACCCATGACTACAACACTTAACTTCTTCTTTTAGAATTATTGTATCGACTATGCTCATATCCTGTGGATTTACTTTCAAAACATGGCCATTATTATCTACGATAAATAAATAATCCGAATTGGATGCTAAGTCGATCACATCATATTGAGCCCTTTTGAAAATTAATGACGCAGAATTATTCTCCAAAAATGATACCTCTCCATAGTACAAATTATGAGTAGTCGTTGCAACAAAAATGTGATCTTTAATGGTAACAAGCCTACAAATTATGCCATTTGGTTTGTCACCAAAAGTATATGACAATTTATCAGCACCCCTCCATAAATGCATGTGTTTCTCCATTTTGTAAGATGTTTGACAGATAAACTGATGTGCATAACCTAAAGGTATCTTATTTTAAAAGACAGTGTTTTTAGTCAATGACGCTTTCGTCATGTGATTCGTGACTGAATTTCTTTCAGTGAACTTTCCTGCAAGAGTACTCGAGGAAATTTACATATTGACATGATTAAACTAATGACTTCCTTATTATAATTTCAAAAGTCGATTCAACAACACGTACCACACTCTATACTACTCTTTACTATACACGATAACTGACGACACTAATGCCCGATACTATCTGTCACATGATCATTTTACTATATTATAAAGGAGGGGATAAATTTCCATTGTGAAGCGTGATTTTCAATAAGTGACGAAGTGAAACTAATAATTCGACGATTATATTCAATATTTATAGAATACCTGTCAAATATTATACAGATATTTTGAAATGAAAATAATTGACTATCAATAAAGATAATGTATATTTTTAATAACATCTACAAGAAATTATTTTTCATAGAATAATTAAAAATCAAGTGAGAATTATATAACAGAACTAATGAAAATAATATTAAAAAGATTTAGCGACATTATTATAATGTAAGTATTACAACTACTGTGATAAAGTACTATACATAAACTACTATAGAGCTAATTAATAATGTCACACTATAATAAATATTAGTAATGGAAACTTCTTGCTAATTACACAGTACAACAAAATAATTTTATAACAATTTTACTTCAAATTTTGTGTTGACATAACTGAGCACAACTGAGTTTACCAATTACTTTTTAGCGATAGAAACCATATGTACGTATTTTCGCTAAATATGTACGCGCCTAAAAACTCGTTTATCGTCGATCAGAATCGGGGAAATTGAATTCAATGGCCCAATCAGAAGCACCCACGATCTAAGCTTCGTTGTTTGTTGTAACGTCTGCTAGAATGGCAGCGATAAAATTGATTTGGACTCTCTTTATAAATTTAACAATATGTGTAATTCTAACTGTGGCAGAGTAAGTGAAGAAGCTTGTTTGTACTAAAAAATTTAATTAATTTATATGTTGAAAATATTAGCTTTCTAATAATTTTATAACCTTATGGTTTCTCAAGCATTTACTGTAGTTATTAATGTGTAGTGTATTAAGTAAGTTAAGTTTAATAAGTGGATAAACTTTTAAATTTTTAAATACATTCAGCAGCCTGATTCTATTTTTTTCTTTATGTTATTTATATAACAATTTTTTATCGTAATACATGCACATACAAATAATATGGAATGATTTAAAATTTTAGTACATTTTTGCAGGAGAGATTTTTATGCCATTTTAGGCGTACCAACAACAGCAAGTCAACATGCAATAAAAAAAGCATACAGAAAGTTGGCAAAGGAATTACATCCTGATAAAAATAAAGATGATCCAAATGCTTCTCAGAAATTTCAAGATCTCGGTGCAGCTTACGAAGTTCTATCAGATAATGAGAAGAGAGAAATATATGACAAATGTGGAGAAGAATGTTTTAAAAAAGATGGTACGATGAACAATGTTGAGCCATTTCCAAGTTTCTTTGGTGATTTTGGTTTTCATTTTGGTGGAGAATCTCATCATCAACAAGAAACACCTAAAGGTTCTACTGTCATAATGGATTTAGTAGTTACTCTAGAAGAATTATATAGCGGGAATTTCATAGAGGTAAGATTTTATTTAAGTAAAAATTTAGATTTCAATAAAAGGCAAAGATTATATTTGTCTCTTATGTTAGATAACAAGAAATAAGCCAGTAATGAAGGCAGCGAAAGGAGTAAGGAAGTGTAATTGCAAGCAAGAGATAGTTACTCGAAAATTAGGAAATGGTCGATTTCAAATGATGCATCAATCAGTTTGCGCAGAGTGTCCAAATGTTAAATTTGTTACCGAAGAACGTGTGTTTGAGATTGAAATAGAAGCTGGTATGGTAGATGGACAAGAGATTAAATTGACAGCAGAAGGTGAACCACATTTGGATGGAGAACCTGGAGATCTAATTTTAAAGATACGAACACAACCACATGAAATTTTTGAAAGAGTCGGCGATGATCTGTACACAAATGTTACTATATCTATGCAAGATGCTCTAATAGGTTTCAAAATGAACATAGAACATTTAGATGGTCACAAAGTGGCTATTCAGAGGGATAAAATAACTAAACCAGGAGCTCGTATTAAGAAAAAGGGGGAAGGAATGCCTAATTACGAGAATAACAATCTTCATGGCGCTTTATATATTACATTCGACGTGGCATTCCCTGAGACAGAATTCACAGATGCACAGAAAGAAGGTAAAATATTTTAGTACACGATCCTTTTCATAATTATTATTTTGTTTTGTTTTTGTTTCAGAAATAAAAAATCTATTCCAACAAAATTCTGTAAATCGAGTTTATAACGGAATAAGGGAAAATTAAAAAATTCAAGTGTAACGTATGTACAAAGTGACACTATAAAGAGTGCATACAACTGAAGTGCGTGTATTGACTTTGTGTGTTTCTATACCAAGTGGTGTTTTCGCTTCCTTGAAACATGGCTACCAACAGGTTTGGTAACCTGCTATTAGGTCAGTTGAAGTGGATACATATAGCGTAACATAATAACCATTGCAAGTACACGTACTTCCTCTTTGATTATAAAAAATCGGTCGAATACTATTATTGCCAATTATCGATATGTATATTAGCAATGGTTAAACATTTTATTTAACAGAATAAGTTATTTTTCGTTTAATATGCGTGGGTGATGTATGAGTGTTTTACATGAACAGAAATTTTGCATTTAAATAGTAAGAGGTACTCCATTGATCAAGTTCTTAAACATTGGGTTTAGTATTGAAATACAAAGAATTAGCAAAGTATTGTATTACGACTTTTCTATCGATATTGTTTGCAATAAAATGTACAACACCATCCGTCATCAGTAACAAACAAGAATTATTCAATTATTTAACTTGCATTTTAGGTTTTTATTAAAAATGTCTTGCATTAAATTATATATTCATATTTTACAAAGGTTTCTCCAACACCTTTGTGTATATTTTGTTCACAAAAATTAAAGTACAACTCTTATATCCGATACAACACAGCATGCGTGATGTTTTGTTGCCTTGGAATAGTAACTTTAGATACTCTATCATAAAAAAGAGGTCACAAATAAACTATAATTTTTATATCTTTATCCTAATTCTAATGTACTTATACCTGCAGTTAATTCAGAGTTTCAGTTTACATAGCTAGCCTCGTTAGGTCACCATTTCACGTTACGATAATATGAAAAATTAACGCATACAAATTTTACAACGAACCGACAATTTTAATTTTATTCATTTCCACGTTTTAACTCGTTGAACGTTAAAGCCCATTTTCGTATAGATTTGTTAGAAGCAAAGATCATCTGCATTTTTAACAAAAATTATTGACTGTTTACCTTTTTTTTATCGAAAAATATACATATGCATATTTAATATTAAATATTTCTTTAAACAAAGTAGCTCATCTTATGAAATTTTAAGACATCGTTAGACTTTCTAATCGTTTCGTAAAGAACGGAATCTTTTCGATATCACGCAGAAAAATATTTTTGCATGATACTCTTAGAATTTGTAATCTTTCAAATGTACTTCATATACAAATTTGATATTTACAAGATCTATTTCTTAACTCGAATTCATTATTGCACTAATTTTTTATCAGTTTGAAATACTATCGGTAAAAAAGAAGTGCATAATTCTGTTCATAAACTAATTTCGAACTTTTCAAATTGGTAATTTATTCCTCGTTAAAAATTCATTTCATCCTTCTAAATAAACCAATAAAAATAAAAAGTTCTGGCAATTGTTATACTTAACACCCTGTACATACACATAAGTTTTGTATACATACTCGCACGCACCTCGTATTAGACTAAACGCATGCACACATACACACGCACGTGACTTTCACATGCACGCGCGTAATTAATTAATTTACACTAATGTTATCATGGTTAGGTTTCAATTCAAATATATCGCTAAATCTCACCAATTACACTTATTTATCAGCTATCATCTTATATTTATTAATACTATGCGCAATAAAGACGCGATAATATTATTATTAGCTGACGCTTGATTTGTTAAGCACGAAATTGTCGTGAATCACACTACATCTTTAAAGCAAGTATCATATCACAGTGTGACCTTTTTTGTACCAGTATACTCTAGCTATCGTACTAAATTCATTGAAAGCCATCCTGAGAAAATCGAAATCTTTTAACATCGCAGAGATAAGGACAAAATGAATAACCGAAAGGAAAAGAAAGGAAAACTAAAAAAAATTTATTGCAAATCAGACGAAGCTACGAACAATAACAGTATAGCCTCATGTTGAATTCATCGACGCAGGCGCTCTGTTTCCCATAGGCGTTTAATCTGCTAACTGACCCTACCAAAATGTTAGTTTTGTTCTCGTTTTTGTACCGTACCGTGCCCTCAAATATCGCGTCACCAGGTTCCGTTTGTATCGTGATCGTGTAATCGACCAGTTGATTTCCTTCACCTTCACCTTCTCCCTTCCACGCTTTCGCGGCTTTAATTTCTTTCAGCTTCAAGACGGCGCACTGCACGAATTTCTTTAGCATCTTATTCAACTCTGAGACCAAAAAGACCGCCTTATCCCGAAGGTGCTCGTCCTCTACAGGCACATCGTAGCTGTTATGACACATACACCAATGACTGGCAATAGCTGCCATGCTACACGTCCGGTAATCGGGAATGGGTAAGAACCAACTGATTCCGCGAGGCAGATGGTTGTCCTTCAACAAGGCTTTAAGGCGGCTCTTAAGGCACGACTCGTCCAGGTCCTCGGAATGCAGCATGTCCAATAGGGTTTCGTGCAAGTCGAAGGCTGTGGTTAGACTTCGCGCGTTTTTTCGGAAATTCGCCCAAGCTACTTGGTACTTTTCCTTCAACCAGTGAGGCAGTACGACGAACACAAATGGTAGGCTATCCTCCATTCTACCTTGATAGGTCTGACGAAAGCTTCCCCATCTCATCCCGTGATCGCTCATCACGATCAACGCCGTTTGGTTCATCAGGTGTTGAGAGTACAGGTAGGTGATCAGGTTGTAGTAGGATACGTCGCCTAATTGCGGATAGTTGAAGAAATCATGGGTCAAGCTGGCCTGCCAGATCATCGCGAAGTACGGATCGGTGGCGAATTGCGAGGCGATTTTCTTAGTATAATCCAACAGATTCTGGTACGTTTTCCTGCTTCCCACGCAGAGATTCGCGTTCAATTTATGCGTATTACCGATATCCTTCTCCGACGCGATGCAGAACGGCCTGAGATAATAATCGGTCGGTTGAACCCGGAAACCGCGTTTCAGATAGTTGAAGGTAGTCATGCCGCATGCGTCTTCGCCGAAGCCTGTTCTATAACCAAACGCGCTAAAATTTTTCCAAATGAACGGACAATCGTCGAACGTTTTATCTTTGCTTTGCCAGCACAAGTCGTGCAATTCTCCCTCGGTGAGGCCGCTTAAGACAGGCACTAAATTCGGATACGTGTTGTCGGCCACTTTGGTGTAGCCCAACAGCTCCACTGCGTTCAGCTCTTGCAACGCTTGAACCGTTTTCGGCATCATTCTGTGGAAATTTAGTCTGGAAACCGAATCAAGGCCGATTATTAACACGCTGAGATGTTCGCTCTTGGAACTGGTAGCTCTAGCCCTCTCGCATTTATTTTCCACCGACCGGAAACGAGGCACGAATGCGTGATAATCCTTGTATATCACCTCATTGTTACGCGAACATTCGACTTTCACGAACTCGGTGTTCACCACCGCCGAGTTTTCGAACTTGAAACACTCGTTACTGTACCTGCAAACACCAAGTTCTCCAATCAGTCACGGTGCACGAATTTTTCTACCTTGGAACGAGAGGAGTTGGTGGAAATTTTCATGGAGCCGCTCCAACGAGTAAACGACGTGATTGGTTTAGAAAAGGGGGATGGCAGATATCGGTAAAAGTAAGAATGATCAGTCTTACTGACGTAACAACGTTATCCTCGTCCTTCATTCGCCAGAACGGACGCCAACAGCAATCGATTTCCTTCGAATTGTTGTAAAAATGGCTGATCGCTTCTACGTTTATGTACAGCGCTGTTTCGTTCGACTCAACCAGTGGTAAATAATCCCCGTGCTCGCAATTAAGCTTCTCCTTCTCGATGAACCGCGTGATCGCTGAATCGAAAGGATCTATCGCTGGGATTCTACAACCCTTGTTGCGAACTACGAAACCAGAGTTGGCTATGGACGTGAAAAAAGGCTTTAATTCTACGTAATTCTCTGAAAACAAACAAGGTGTTCTCGTCAGAGAGATCGGTATACTCGAAGCAAATTTAGATTTACAATTTCTCCCTATGCTATGCTAACCTATTGTTTCTTCCGATAAAGTCTCAGGAAAAGAAAAGTGGAAAAATTAAACGAACATTTAACGCGATATTCCACTATTGTATTAGGGTGTCCTATAAGTTTCTTCCTTTTCTTTTGATGCGAAATCAGTAGACGATATTTGTTGTTTAAGGTTGATTTGCAAAATATTCATCGAGGTGTATTTTTATTTCGCTTTCGGATTTGTGATATCTTCTCTTAACGAGAGAAACAAGTAATAATCGGATGGGGCAAAGTCTGGTGAGTACGGAGTATGAGATAGAACGTCCCAATCAAACTGTAAGGGTTTCTCTCTAATAAATATCAGAAATCCGAAAGCGAAATAAAAAGGCACCTCGGTGAATATTTTGCAAGTAAGTCTGAACAATTTTGGAAAGAGGGCATAATGAGGCTTCCTGAGAGATGGAAGAAGGTAACAGAGCAGAATGGTTCATTTATGACACAGTAAATCAACTTTAACACTAGATTTACGGAACCCGTGAATTTGACGGAAGGGTTGCTCCAATTATACGATGGTAACAAATTTAGTTAACTTGTATTACTGTTAATATAATATATAATTGTTTTTAAATTAAACTAATCGTTAAAGAAAAGGCACGTGGTTCCCTTTACCTGTCAATTTGACAGGTGTCCTTAGAAACAGGTATACAGATAGCGTCCGTAAACCTAGCGTTAAACAACAAATATCGTCTATTGATTTCGCATCAAAAAATGGAAAGAAACTTATGGGACGCCCTAATATATTCTTTATCTCTACTCGACAGACTATTATCGGTATTCAAAGCGAAAGGAATAATGTTTCTTTTTTTAAACATACGTATAACATTCGCGAAGCATACGTATATTTTGTTTCAGCCAACTCCACGTTGTTATAAAATAAACAATGAATTTTCGTCTTTATCTAATCTACGAACAGTTGTTTAAACAAAAGGCACCTTCACTGGAACGTTTGACGAGTATTACTTTTTCGCGAAAATACCTTGTGAAGTATCGTTGACAATGGCCCCATACCTCGCTGCCCGAAATTGATCGGTATTGAACGTATTTATCACAATTAATGACACAAACAAGAAAACCAGAAGTCCTATTAACCATTTTCGTAGCCATAATCGATTCTTGTATGTTTTGTTATCCAACTCGAAACTAAAAGCGTTGCGCTCATTGTCCAGCGATTTTTTACCGCTACGAAATACTACCTAAACACAAAAATCATTGTTAAGCGATTTCATCAAATTTCTCTGTACAAAGTTTCAATTCCTCCGTATTCTAATTATCTTTGCCTACTATCCGACTTCTAAATTTACGATATATTATCAGACCTGCAATTAGTCATTATTTTAAGTTGACTATTTTATCACGATATTTCCTGAGTACGCCCACCGTGATAACATGTATCGTTTACCTACAGAACATTTTTAATATTCTTCCATCATTCCATATTTTCAAGTTACTTTTCTCCGTTCAAATTTCGTCCAATACTTTCTTTTACACGAATTTTTCATTCTTTTACACTTTACGTAAATAACCTAGCTGCTATTTGCGTATTTGAGAAGCACGTATTAAGTGAATTAACGTTCAATGATTTATATTTTTATGATCAAAAGAATTTTATGATTGAAAGAATTTAACAATTATTAGCAATTATAGGAATGTGCAAAAATTTGTACTTAAAATTGAGTTTATGGTTTATTAACCCTTTGTACTCGACGACTTTTGGCCAGAGAAGAGTAGAAATTCAAAGATTTTCTACTAAAAAGCTGACGATACTTTCTTGAGCAGTAAATAAAGGATTGTATAATAATAGAATTGTAGAAGTATTTGATTTCGATATCTCGCACACTGTTACATTGCATTAAATTTGATATATTAATTAATATCGATCTTCCGAATTTTATGAAATTGTGACTGAAGCTCACCTCTCGAGTGCAAAAGGTTAATAATTGTTGAAATTCGCGAAACACTCGAATCAATTTGTTACGTGTACTGTACATGGATAACAAATATAGTTGATTACGGAGTTACTGAATATAATAAGTAGAATAAAATGGTAATATTTTTCCGAATAAGGTTGAATATACTTCCTCGAATGGCAGACATTCGCGAATCGATATTTTCAAAAAAGGAAGTTTCCAACTTGTTAGTTCCTACTCCGAAGTAAGTACCTGATAGACCATATGTCATGTATCGATATTCGCCTAATACATGGAAGAAAATTTAGCATAAAAGCAGAGATAAAGAGAGGAACTTTGTTCGGAAATTATCAACCTATTGGTAACCAACAATTTCTTATCCAATCATAATCTATAACTAAACTTTTAGTTAGTTAACAATTCATTACTAATTTATCGATTGATCTGCAAGTTTGTATACGCGTGTGAAACGATATATGTACGTATGTTATCTCGTTGTAACGTTGTATTACCATTTTACTGTTAACGAAACTTTACATCTGATGCAAAATTACAATTATTTATTACGCGGAGGTATAAATCCTTTATCTTTTGCCACGTCATTTTGCAATTTATCACTTTTATCCGACACGTGTTAAAACGATTCATACACATATCGCACAATCTAAAACACATCCAGTAGAAATGGGAAATATAATAACGGGCTTGAAAATGTTCATATATAACTGACGTATAAAACAGCTATGTAGACTAGCACACTAGTAGAATAACACACATGGGAAACTATAAATTCTGGAAGATGCACCCTTTGTAATATTCTATATAACACTATCAGACTAGCAAAAACGATTGCCACGTTTAATTTAGGGAATTTTAGCAAATAAAACAAATTCACTGATAAAATTTATTTCCTAAGGTCAATTCTCATTCACGATATAACTTGGACAGTTATTTACAATGAAAAATTATTTTTACATCGAACTCTACGATTCCTTTAAATTTAATTATCTCGTATTTGAAAGATATAAATGATATTTAAATATTTACAAATTTCGAATCACCTTTAACAGAAATACTAATAGATGTTTGATCACACGTCAGATTTAAAGGAGCAGTTTCAAGATAAATATACATTCAAATTGATTACCACGACACGAAATAATTGTTACTTGGAAACTGCCTTGTAATTTAAAAATTATTTATTCCTAGATCCAGTTTTTAAAATTCAATTTTTATTTTAATATCTCGCCAGACACTGTATATCCTCACTACCTTTCATATAATCAAAATTGATGTAGAAAATTATTTTATTCCCGGTATAAGATAAATTAATCGTTTGATTTATAATACTAAACAACCTTTTCTTAGTTTCACGTTTCTTTCGAATATCCCAAAATATGCCGTCACTTATTCCTTATTCAGAAATATGCTTCTCGCCTCGAATGCAAAATCACATCACTGTACACTTAATAAGGGAGGAAAGAGAAAAGAAGACGGAAAACTGAGACTTTCGGTGACTTACCTTGTCTTGGAATCGATCGCACATGCCAGAGGAACTTTCCTTGCTAACTAATTTTGAATGATTGAAAGATACCGCGTGTATAACCGCATACATTATCTGGCATTGAAATCTTATCACAATTATGCCATCCTAGTCCGCTATCGATACGATAGTACGAAAGATTTAAATTTTCGATCAGACCATCTTGTCGAACTGTAATATAGTAATACATATTTAATGGTTAAATTGAGCCACAATTTGCTCGGTTAAATTTACATGGATTATCCCTACGTTTCTCTCATCATTCAGCATCTCAAGTTCAGCGAAACCCGATGCAGTTGGCAGGAAGAAAGAACGAATAAAACGAAAGATAAAGGAGACAGATCTAAGGAAGCGCTGCTACTGAAAAAGACAATCACGCAGTAAAGAAAATTTCCTATACTCTGCGCAATTTTCATTTTACCTTCCTGAAAATATCACCGATGCATTGCTGCAATCCTTCCGATTAGAACGAGTCCAAACACCATTTACATTATACTATTTTCTCATGTCGTTATTTACCATTTTACTGCTTACATCAAGTATGATTATTATAATTAAAATTAGACCGATTAGTACCGTGTTTGGATTCATTTTAACCGGAAGAATCTCAACGACACATTGGTATCACTCTTCCGAAGATAACACGAAAATGAAGAAAAATAAAATTTTCCTAGTTGTTAAAATTTCTGGAAAGAAGACAGCTTACTCGATTAAGCGCACTTTGGCCCGCGACGTTTCCCAATTTTGCCTAGCATTATCGTATTTGGAATTATCTCAAGTGTTACACAACTGTAAGAATGTTAATTAATTGCCGAATATTTATAAAGTATAGATAACGCACGATTACACGTAACTAATTACTCGAAACACGATACTCCGATACGAAACAGAAATACCACCGAACGTTGAATGACAGTCTCGAGTCAAATATGCTACGCGATGAAGAGAGAAAAGAAGGAAGGAAGCAAAAGTAAACAAGAAAGCAGCACGCCCCGTATCGGACAGAATAATGAAAATTGGATAAAAGACACGTGTAATTTTGTTTCAACCTCTCGTCATACAGTTTAGCTCGAGATGCTTGGATATTTGTTTAAAATGAAATGAAAAGCTGTTTCGTTTACCGGCAGTTCCTCCAGATTCCGTTTACTTCGTTTACACCATCAGGCTCTAGCGAAATGATCTCGAGTGCAGGCATCGTTGGCGAACTTTCATTAAGCTTCTCGACAACGTTTCGTCGGTATTGTTTCCACGGTGAAACTTACTTCGCGATCCCTGACGGGTAACAAAAATCGTGATACATTTTCCAAACGATACGACCAATGCTTGGAAGTAGATGCGACGGATGACGCCTGCATAATCCTTGCACCTGGAAGACGAATTCCTTCGGGGTTTCGAGCGGGGTTTCTCTTCGAGAAGATGAAAAATATCAGGCCGTCTATTACTACGCTATCGACACATTGCCCCGTGTCGAGTTTTCGTTAATCAGAGTGCGATTCTCGATGTTTCTCCGACAAATGAATATATCGATCGACAAACTCTCTATTTGATGACCCTCCGAGCAGTGTCGATCGTTGTCAGGTTACTGCGGGAAACCTCTACGTAGTCGCCAATCAGTTTACATGTTTGCCTTTGAAAAATACTTTCAGTCTAAAATTAAACGGTTTAAGTATGTACACGTATGTGTATGTATATATATATATATGCGATTTTTGTACAAGGTCGGCGATAACCCGTGTCGACAGAATTCGTCGATCGTGTTCTTCCAATCAGACACAATTTTACACAATGACCGCCCCGATTCGACGTCGTTTAACCGCAGTACGGTTTCAATTCGGAGCACTTTAATTTAACAAAGCCGTCGTTTAGATTCATTTTAATGAAAGGGTGGTACCAGCCGAGTTTCTCGCCGCTCCCGCCTCGTCCTCTTTACCCCCATCTCTGTGTTTTCGAAAACAGGTCAGATTTGACGCATTTCCAACCAGTTTCCCTTCGACCACCGATACACCTTTCCGCTCGGTCATCTGCACGAGGATCTCACTCCTGCTGGCCACTCAACAGAGACCCGTCCCGAGCAAATCAAACGAATCACGTAAACGGGACTGTCGGATGCCGAAATCGCGAACAACCTTCATCATCACCTCGTGTCACGTCATTGCGATTGTTCGCTTTGCTGACTGATCGTTGGCCTGGTGCTCGGCGAATATCCCAAGCCTCGTGATCTTCGAGAGTAACGTCACCGTCGTCACCGTCGTCGTCGTTGTCGTCGCCGTCGTCGTCGTCGATAACAACGGTAAGACAATGGTCGAACGAATTTCAATTCGACGACAGGACCCGGTCCCGACGCTGGTACGTGGCTGGGATTCTAGCGGAATCTATACAGGGGCTGTTGGCTGCGAGGTAACGAGAGGAGGAGAGACGAAAATCTGGTCGATAGACGCGGCAACGCGCGCGCGCGCCCACGAGCTCTTCTGCACCTCTGCCATGTATCGGGGGAGTTAACAGCCGTTTCCTCTCGTGTGGTCCAGCGGCTTAATCGTCCACAGAGTTAACCAAGTGCTATCTGCTCGCGAGATTCGACCTTCGCGAATTCCAACCTCGTCCAGACTCCCGCTGCATCCGAAGAGAAGTGCGGGATGGTTCTTCGATCCACTGGGATAATTCTGTGTTTCGTTTTCTGTTTATTCTGCATAGAGTTTACCGTTGGCTTTCTCCTCGTTCTGCACCGATTTTGCACTCATTTTCTCTTCGTCCTGTATTTATTTCTCGCTGATTTTATGCTCTCGCGTTGACTTTCTATCCAATTCCTGTTTATTTTACCTTGTTTTCGCATTCGCTTTGTTATTTTTATTTATTTTCGCATCGACATCGTGTTTCTTTTACATTTCTTCGCGTCGATTTTACCTTAATTTTCGTCCTTATTTTGCATCGATGTTACAAGTTGCTTTCGCATCAATTTTGGCTTCACTTTCAAGGCATCGATTAGCTGACCGTGTAATGCTACTTGTCCTTTGTCGAGTTCCAATTTCAGTGATAAGTGGAACAATGATATTCGTCATATTCGACTTTTACTTATCGTCGGTGATTTCTACGTTACCAGTGTAGACGTTTACACGTAACACGGAAAACGTTACCGTGAAATGCATAGTTATTATACGACGTGAGTTTACACGACAAAGAAGTAGGATGGACTGGAATTTTTCCAAATAATAGATAAAATTAAAGTGTTTTAATAAGATAAGGATATACTAAGTATTTAAACAGATATACTAAAGTAAAACTAAGTAACGCTACCTGATATGTTAATGCTCTAGTGTTAAGATATTCTGTACCATGAAAATACAGAAAACCGAACAATATTCATTTAAGCGATGTCACATTAAAGGAAACGATGAGAAAGTTTCGTTTGTCCAACGTACAAATAAAGCATGCATGTATACACATTATCAATGTAACCCTTTCGTCCCGAAATAAATGTAGCAGATATTTAGTACCTAATATATTTCCACGCAATCACGGTTTCATATATGTGAACGTGTTTCATTAGTTTCGCGTCATTTCCAACTTTATTAACCTAATATGGAACATGACTGCAATATTAGTTATGATCCATGGTCATTAAAATTAAGCGTAAAGAAAATGATCCGATTAAATAAAACATGGCGTCACGTGTATTTATATGATATATTTGAATCACACGAGTTCATAATTCGACATGTTTTTAATTTCCTTTTAATTTTCTGTCAAATAAAAGGTGAAAAATAAATGTTCCACTGGAAGAGGTAATGAAACAACGCTTTTTGCCCTCGAGTGGTATTATATATCAAAGAAATTAAATTGTCATACGATATTCTATAATCTATCTATTCTATCTAAGAAATTACAGCAACAAATGTTTCCAATATTAACCCCTTGCACTCGATGATTTTTTGGCTAGAGAAGAGTAGAAATTCGAATATTCTCTACTAAAATACTGACGATACCTTTTGGAGCAGTAAATATAGAATTGTATAATAACAGAATTGTAGAATTATTTCATTTCGATACCTCGCACACTGTTACATTAAATTCGATGTATTAATTAATATCGATCTTCCAAATTTTATGAAATGGTGACTGAAGCTCACCTCTCGAGTACAAAGGGTTAAAAGTTCTTGCACCTTATTTGTTGGTCAAAACGATACCTAATTTTTCTCCGTAACTTACACCTTCTTCGTATCTTTCTCGTTGGGGAAATAGTGTAGCGACTTTACACAGAATTAAGAACTTTATCTCGAAAAAGATTGATAGAAACGCGTAATTTCGAAGAAACGATAGACCCCGATATCAAAATATCAATTTAGGAGTGTGAAGTGAAATTTTTTAGGAATGTTCATTCATGATTGTACAATATTAATTCTCGATATATAGGAATTAAAAGGATCTCCTATGGAATATATGTTTTAATTTGAGGGTATGTTTGACGAAGAACACGCTGAAGCATCGTATTTCGATAACAGTATTTGCCTGATTAATTATATAACCGATTCGTCATAAATTTCGTAGCTTCGTAACAACCTCGAAGTGTACCATTCTTGTTTGCAATTACCGAACTTTCATTGTCTATGACTCGTCGAGTACATATGTAAATGTTACGACTTCTTAAGCCTCCTTAGATTATGACATACTTTCTTTCTAATTATAGATTGCCAATTATAGAAACTGATAACGTCCAAAACAGACCTGCTGTTTTGAATTTGATAAGTGAAAATTTTTGTTAGAATTAATTTTCTTCAATTTTACGACGATCAAGATCATTCTTCTATTGGAATTATATATACTTAGAAATACACTCTTATGTACACCGAGGAGTGATATATCTTTGAAACGATAACGATGTAGGATTTTTAAGAAATTATATAAGAAAAGAAATTACTCGATTTGATTATTTCTTATTTACTGCAGAATTATATATTACATATTACTTGACAAATTGTCGATCTTCCGTCATAACTAATATACCTAATTTAATTATATTTTAATGCAAATAATAATTACACTATTGGCCCCAGTTCACGCTAACCTATCCACACCGTTATCCTGTTTAAGAAAGGATAAAATTTCATTAAATTGTACTGTATTGATTATAATATGTCGAGGAAGAATAAACAAAGTTATGCTATTTTAAACCAAATAATTCTACGTAAATATTTCATATCTTTTAGTCAATAAACGCTTGAGAAATTAAAAATTCAAGATTAATGATTAGGTAAGTCAAAGGCACACCTGTCCGTAATATGTGCGAAACATAACTCGAAATTTTTATAAATACTTATGAATGAAATTGATGTCGACTCATAGCCTATAAAAGAGTACGAAAAGCTGACAAAAGTGCTCTTTAAACAGCACTCTGATAAATTGAAAAACCTAAAAACCGAGACACCTTGTAATCTATCCCAATTGTGACTCACTGTGTACATTAAAATTCGTCAAATATTATTGCAAACTAATAGATTATCACATTGACAGTCTTTAATCAACGTATGAAAAGAAGAATTCGTTCAAAATTGTACAACACATTTTATATAAGTGAGTCATTATATTCGTTGTGACAATTAATTTTTGCAATACTGGGAGGAGTTATTGGAAGACATACGTGACCAATTACATTGAATGTTCGTCAAATTACGAACATTTAAATAAATAAATGAAGGAAAATAATTTTTCAAGCCTAACAAAGTATCTATGTCCTCTCCACGACTTAAAATTTTGGTAAAAGACCTATTTACTGTTTGTCGGTAATGCGACGTATGTTAATTTGATAGCAGAGACAGACCTCGCCTGTGCTGATGATACTAAGGGACCTTGCCAGTAGTAAAACATACGAAATAGAGACGGAAACAAGGTATAAAACGTATCCAACATCGTGTCATGGGTGAGGTATAGAATGAGCCTCGTATGGCAGAGGAAATATAAAATAAATTTAACATTGTACAAATATTCGTGGCCCAATTTCGACTACCTTACCGATCTAGAAATATCTGACCGATCCCAGTGACATCTGCTTACAAACGACAGCCAATAAAGCAATTATTTTACTAATTGTAAGTAGTATCGAAGACAAAAAGAAAGTGTAGGAAAGTGTACGAAGTTCGTAGGGGGCACCAAATTTCTTCACAGCACTAGAAAGCTGTCAAACGAAGTGACGTTTGCAATTTTTGCGAAGGATTTATTTCAACGCCTGTGATTCTGGTATTTCAGTAGAAAAATCAACGTCAGTAAGACTTGCGACATCAGTATAATACTATGTATTTGAAGCAACGCCTAAGAAACTCTACGACACAACGTTACAAAGTTTACAAGTACACGAATCTAAAGGACAGAGTCTCAGCTACTTCAAATCACTAACTGAGAAAATCAACTTTAGATTATATTAGAATCTGAAAACACTTTTACAGAAATTGTATTTCATTTATTCTTAATTACGAATGGTTCTGTTTAAATCGCGAGCTGATTCGAATGATCAAGTGTTCGAATTTAAATTATTTTTGCGAATATCCTTTCAATATACTAATTCGCACATGTGCATCATTAGGGTATTGTCTCAATGGAGTCGACAATCAATTTTCAGAATCTCATGTATTTCTATCTCTGTTTTCTTAATGGCACCTCATACAGTAGTCACAGTCATGCATATAGCTGCCATTGTTAGATTTCCCTATTTATAAGCTTTTGGACAGAGTATTATAGGACGGAACTACACTGTCACAAACACCGTACTGTATTGTACCTTTGCAGTTAGTAGAAACCTATTAGGTTCAAACTAGG